CCCAAAATTTTAAAGGGGTTTTTTTTCTAATTTAAAAACCCCCCAAAGTTTCCAAAAAAACTTAAAAAAATTTTTTTTTTTAAAAATTTTTTTGGAAAATTTGCCCCCTTAAATATTTTTGGGAAATTTTTTTTTCCCCCCTTTTGTCATAAAAAAAAAATTTTTTATTTTTTTTTTTTTATTTTGGACCCAGGGATTCCTTAAAAATTTAAAATTAAACAAAGTATAATTTTTGTTTTTTTAAATTTTTAAAATTTTAAAATTTAAATTAAAAACTAAAAATTCACCAAAAAAAATTTTAATTTCCGGGTCAAAATTTTATAAAAAAAAAATAATAAAAAAAATTTTTCCTTTTTAAAAAGACTTAAAAAAAATTGAAAAGTTTTTTCCTTCGAAAAAAATTTAAAAAACCCCCTTTTCCCTCTAAATTTTTTTTTAAAATAATTTAATAAATTTAATTTTGGACAACTGATTTAAAAAAAAAAAAAAAGGGTTTTTTTAAAACAAAGTCAAACCCCAAATTCCCATCGGAAAATTTTTAAAATTTTTATTTAAAATAGTTTAAACGAACGAAGGTCGATAAAAACCCCAATGTTTTGGACCCGCTTCCGCAAAACCCTTATGCGTTTCGGCCCACCCAATCCTGGGGCCCGCGCATTACAGACCCAGCTTTTTATATTTTTCTTACTTGAATAGGGGTAAAAAAAGCTATTTTTGTTTTTTGGGGGGAATCATTCTACCAGTTCGCAAAAAAATTTGGTTTTAGAAAACAGGTCAAATTTTAAATTTTAAACTTTTTTTTAAAAAAAAACTTTCAAAAAAAGTAATTTATTTTAAACTTTTTAAAAAAAAAATTTTAAAAATTTTCCTTTTATTTTTTTACAAACTTAAAAAATTTTTTATTTTGCGGGTATATCAAAAAAAAAAAATGTTTTTTTTAAGACTCCAAAAAATTTTTAAAAAAAACCCTTTTTTTGAGATTTTTCAAAAAAGAATAACCTTAAAATTGTCAGAGAAAATCCCCATTCCCATTAAAAAAAAAAAAAAATTTTAAGATTTTCCCCGGTTAAGAACTTAAAAATTTTTTTTATTCAAACAACAAATTTAATTTTAATTTAAAAAAATTTTAAAAAATAAACTTTTAAAGCCATCCCGATAAACAAATTTTGGGCCTTTTAAAAAAAAAAGGGGCCAAAATTCCCAAAAAAATTTTTTGGGTTTTGCAAAAAAAAAACCTTTTTTTCCCCCTTGGAATTCCCCCCTAAAATTTAACAAAATTCATGGTTTAAAAATTCTTAAAAATTTTTGTTTTTTTTTTCAAAAAGGGGCCAAATTTTTTAAAATTTGGGGCCCAAAAAAAATTTTCCTTAAATCCCCCTTTTTTTAAATTTGTTTAAAATTTAAAAATTGATCCGTTTAAAACAACCAAAAATTTGGGCTTTGGAAAAAGGGGGGTTAACTTCCCCCCCGTTTTTTGGGGGAAAAAAAAATTTTATTTAAAAATAATTATTTTTTTTTTTTTAAAATTTTTTTAATGTATAAAATTTCTTAGGGGTTTTTTTATTTTCCTTTTGAAGATTAATCAAATTACAATTTTCAAAAATCTTTTTCCCTTATTTCAGAGACTCCCTTTAAAATTTTTGAAAAAAAAGGTTAAGGATAAGGAATTTTAAAAAACAAAAACTTTAGGCTCCCACTTAAATTTTTCCTTTTTAAAAAATTTAGGGTTTTTTAAAAAAATTTTTTTCCCAAAATTTATTTAAAAAAATTTTTAAAAATTTTATATTATTTCCTGAAAATTAAACCCTTTTTTTTCGTTGTATAAACTTTAACCCTTATGGGGGGAAAACTTCAAACATAAAAACAAAAAAAACTCAAAAAGTTTAAATTTTTCATTTTGTCTTTTTTTGGAAAAAGGGTTGGGCCATCCACAAATTTGGGGGTTTAAAGGAAAGGGGGATTATAATTGATATAAATTTTTTTCAAAAAAATTTTTAAATTACCTTTAAATTAAAGTTTTTTTAAAAATAGGTTTTCAATTAAATTTTAATTTAAAACTTTTATGTTTTTGGGACCAAAAAATTGGCTGAACCAAAATTTATTTTTTTTCTTTTCCAAGATTGAAAAAAATGCCTTAAAGGGGTTTTTGAAAAATTTTGGGTAAAAAAATGTGTGGGGTTTTTGGGTGTTTTTTTTTTTTTGGCAAAGTTGGGGGGGAAAGGGTTTGTTTTTTTGGTTGGGGGGGTCTTTTGGTTTTGGTGTTTGGTTTTTTTTTTTTTTTTGGGGTGTTTGGGTTTTTTTTGTGTTTTTTTTTGTTTTTGGGGGGGGTTTTTTTGGGGGTTTTTTTTTTTTTTTAAAAATTTTTTTTTTTAATATGTGGGGGTGGTTTTTTTGGGGTTTTTTTTTTTTTTGTTTTAAAAAATTTAAAAATGTAAAAAAAGATTTTTAAAAAATTTTTAAAAAATTTAAAAAAATTTAGGGGGGATGGAAGGGCCCCGCAAGGGGTTAAACCCCAGGGCAAGTGGGTTGTTTTTTTTGGGAAAAAATTTAACTTCAAACTAAAATAAATTCTGTATAAACCAAATTTGTAAAAAGCATAAAACCTGACCGAAAATTAGATGGTTGAAAAAAAAAAATCTTTTATAAATCTTTAACAAAAATAACATCTGCTTCAAGATAAGCTTAGAATATGAGAAAACAGAAATTCACATAAAACAAAGAAAAAAAGACTCAAACAAGTTTCAAATAAATTATCACAGATGTTAAAGCCGACAAAAAGAACAACAACAATAATAAATGGACGGAAAAAACCCTGCATTAACAAAGTATAAAATGGATGTCAACAAATAATGTTGACAACAAATCACAAATATAACATTCTTACATACAATAAACAAATAATGAATTTGAACAAAAAGGGTCTCTCCTGTTATAAAAACTTCCGTCATAATGCACATACATGGGTTTTTTATACAGCTAACCTGTGTTAAAGACCACCTCTAAATAAAGGCCATCCTGTAAATAAAGGCAATCCTTCATTGATTAAATAGAACAAGGTAACCTCTAAATAAAGACCACTTGTCTATAACAACCATGTTTGATCTCTCCTTTAGGTGGCCTTTGTTCACAGATTTGACTGTATTTATTTTTGTTTTATCATACATGACATAAAACTGTCTAACGCTGATTTATAAAAAAAATGCATACCTCAGTGTTAAAGGGTAAAGAGCTATATCAGGCAGTTAGTAGAATTTTTGTATCTTTAAAAATGACATGTAACTACCAAAATTGAAAGAAAAATGTCCGAAAAAATACGAAAATCTTTGATAAAATTGCTCTTGCATGAATGAATTCATTGCTTACCATTCTTAAATTAGAATTATAATATTTTGTATGGAAGTGTTTTTTTCTGTTCTCATATAATTCATATTAGACACTTTTTTGCCTAAAACTTCAACTGCAAGATCACGAAATCTATGTGATAGTGAGATTTTTTGAAACTATTTAAGTTACATTTGGCCTGATATAGCTCAACATCCTGTAAGTTATGTATCAAAGGAGATCCACTGAGGTCAAAAAGCTGAGAAAGATAAAATTTGCAATTCTTATATAAATAAAGTGAAGCACTTAAAATGGACAATCTTGCAAAGGATAATAAATAAATATGCTCAGAACTAAATTGACAATCAATATTAAGTGCAATTTTTAGCCCTATTTGGGTGAAAATAAGTGTAATTCTTTTCATTTTTGTGTCATTTACATTAAAAATGATTATTCTGGAAAAACGGAATGACGGAATGATCTGAAAATTTGCAAATAAGTTGTTGAATAAGATCATCCTCAAATGGTAAACAAATTTTTGAAAAAAAAAATTCCAGTAACGTTATGACAAAAAACACCTCAGTGGAGTCCCTTTAAGGTTACAATATATTCTTTAAACTACCTAAAATAATGTCAAACACAAAACAGTATGTAAAATGGCAGTATGACGTCAAGCAGAATTTACATATTTATTCTTCATCAAATATAGACACAAAAAGTTCTAAATTTACATATACACACATATAAAAAAAGAGACAGCAGTTTTTAAAGAAGACAATAAAACCTCTATTAAAATGTACAGCAGTTTTATTAAAAAAATCTATAAAGCAGTTTATATTATGAGCACATACGCGTTATAAATACTGAAGACTATGTAACTATACATACAGCAGTTTTCTGTACAAATTATCAGCAGTGTTTTACCACAAGATTTGGTGAATCCCATTTAACAGCATAGGGAGGTCAAAGGTCAATCATTTACACTATTTACAGTTAAAAGTAATACATCCATGATAAGATTGTGAAAATTCAATATATTTTCACACTAAATAAGTCTTTAAAAAACAATTTATTTTTAAATATTCATTCCTAAAATCAGACACATGATATATCTAGTGATCGTTTTTTTCCAAACAATTTTTACTCCTCGAAAGTGACATATCAATAGGTAATATATGACAGTTCATTTGCAGTTCTGTTACTCAGTCAGTCAGTCAGTAGCAAGTTTTGGAATGTTGCCAACATTTATACAATTTATTCATGGGGGAAATACCTTAGTAAGATAAAGGTCATAGTCCAGTTATAAAAATCCCTGTTCTGTACACATTGGGACAAACTGTCCTTTTCAAAAATTATTTCAATAGCTACATAGTCACTGCAAGACTTGCAGAAAAATCACACTTAGAAGTGCGATACCACCCGATTTGTGAAATCCTTAAAAATAACAAAGGGTGCTATACTTATAACTTTAAACTGTAGAAACCTATTTCAAAATTTTGCCATCGTTAAAATAAAATAACGCCTCAATACAGAGCTTCAACCTTTAAGCCACCGTCACACATTCTCAGAAAAGTTCCAGAGAGAAAATACAGCCTAACTAAAACAATATAAAATCATCATCAATAAATATCACAGATAACAGTACGTCTCCATGCACCACATTAAATCTCTGCTTGAAAAATTTGAATGCTAAATTTGGAACATTACATGATAAAACTCACAACATGCACATTTTAGGTTGGACAGAACATACACAAATGTACCTGATCACTTTTTATCAGTTATCGGTAATAATAAATTACCCTATGCAAACATAAACAAAACAGCATTGTTTCATTTCTAACTCCAAACAAAATCACATTAAAAACAATCAAATTGCAGAAAAATTAACACCATTTGGGATATAATCTTCTTTAATAGTGGTTGTTTTTATTTGTATCATAATTTTTTTTCTTCACATATTAGAATTACAAAGAAAAGGATGTTTGTTCCCTAGGAAGTGTCATTTTTAAGTATGTGCAAGAAAAAAATTACAGATTTTGAATCTAATTCTTAAACTTCTTAATTGACCAACTGCATTATTTTCGGTGCCTTCATTGGTTGACTTAGTGCCGATTTTTCCATTGTTACCGTTCTCGATGGTTCCGTTGACGTCTGTAAAGAGGGATCGTTGAACGATGTTGGTACCGAAAGTGTAGATGGTTGCGGATCAGTCTTTGATGCATTTACGCTATTTGTTGAAATCTGCGGTTGAGTTACAGATCTTTCTCTAAGATTATTAGATAATTCCGGTAAAACGCGGAATCTCTTTGGATCATCGGGAATTCTAAATAGATGATTATCCCTTTCCTCTTCAGTCAACGGAACTATAGGTCTTCTCCACATTCTTGTTCTCTCTTTATGGTAAACACTGGAAAAAATGGGGTATCATTAAGTAGAACTTTTAAAGCTTTACACTATTAAAAAAATAAAATAAAAAATAAATTTATTAAAAATTAATGATTAATCTTTTTTTTTTTTTCTAAAAATTTAAACAGAAAACAAATCCCTTTTGAACAGTTATTTTACACAGTTGTTGTTTTCTTATTGATGATTGTCACAAGGGTCTTGTATAGTTTTACCGTAAATTTTTTGTGAAAATAAGTTTCCAAGAAATTAGAAATATATTTTAAATGGATTTATCAATCTTTTATTTATAATAAACCATTCATGGAGTTAAGGAAAATTTTCAAATTTATTTACTAACTGACTGAAAACCAAACAATGCAGACCATGATCACAAAGCACATTAAGTAAGCTTTTCTATGTCTGCATTTGTTGCATGAGTGGAATTTGTTGCAGTAAGCAGGCTAAGAGTTTAATATGTGCTTTTACTTACTTGAAATCATGTCCTTTCAACTTGTCAAACTTTTCATGTTCGTAATATATAGCTGGTATCTTGTTCCTTTCCAACACCCAACTATGCTCTAGGCACGGCCCAGGTTTGAATCCCTTATTTCTTTCGTCGCCTTCATTTTCCACAGCTGGTCTAGGAGTTATACCGGCCAGACGCGAGTCAGTATCTACACTTGGATTCAGCACAACATTTAACGGAGGGATATTTCTAAGGTTCATGCCAGGTCTACGAAGGCTCAGTTTGCTAGGCTTGTCTTTGAGAAGACCCTGTAATCTTGCTACTTGGTTACTAGCTTTCCTTCCTTGTGCACATAACTCAGTCTCTGTTAAACACCTAAAAGATACAAAAAAATTTAAGGGATCTTTTTAAAAACATTTTTCACTGGATGATAGTCAAAAAAATTTTCAACTCTTCAAACAAGCTCTTTTGTTTCTTTAATATGAATGACCAAAAC